CTCAAATCTGCATTTGGTCCATATCATCGAGGTGGAATCACATGTCTGCAGTTATTCCACTTCTCAAAGCCATGTGCACCTATGTCATCCAACATTCGTGATATGCATGTGCTTTGTGGCTTGTTGCTTGAGAAATGCAGTCGTGTTAACATCCTCAGTTGCCAAAGCGACGTATTTCCCGAGTTCCAAGTCCACTGTTGTCTTCTTCTCAATTATTTTGTATCCCGAAACAAGGTATTTGGTAATCGATGACCTAATGGTCCTGACAGGGTGGGGGCTTTTCCATTGAATTGCACAAGAATACGCCAGAATGTGGGTCTGTGTGGGATGTTGTTGTGGTGGTCAGTGGAATTCGCGGAAACCCAAATCGTGACACAAGCAACACAAAATTCCCTCAGCGCATAAACAAAGTTCTCTCTCTCTGACGAGATCGCATAATTTTGTTTTAATCAATTGGCAAGTAGAGAGATTTTAAAGTATGTTAATCAAGTCCTGGGTGCCACTCAGTTTGTTGTGTTTATGGGAAATGACTGATAGCGGTTCATAGCCTCTTGACTTCGGTTAATGGTGTAAACAGATGTTGAAATGTACTGCACTATTCGCGGAAGTAGTCGGTGTCCTGTAAAAAGGGAACTGCAGGACCGATATGTAGCGTTTGTAACCCAAAAAATACGTTCCAGTTGCACTTGGAAGGCATTTTGGTAACTTGCAGCACGACAGGCTGAAAGCGCCATGATTAATGGGATATCACACATCTGTTAGCCAATGAATGACGTCCTATACCGGCTTCACAACCGCCGTTCTTCGCCATGGCTAATTAACACTAGCTGGCAGGTGATTGGTGGAGGGGCTACCAAGTAGGATGTTGCGAGCGCCTGATTGGTGCGTGCACGAGGTCACACGTGAAAGCCAGGCGAGCAGTCACTTCGCCGTAGGTAGGGCTGCAAGCGGTGGTCTTTTTCGCGCACACACACTCACATACACTCTTCCATCGCCAGAGACAATGCCGCAGGGGATTCCGGAAGAATGGATGCCCATGTACCCAGATCCGAGGGTCGACGATTACCCTCTGATGCAGAGCTTCTGGCCCACCGCCCTGATTTCCCTGGCCTACGTCGTGGGGGTTTGGGTTTGGGTGAGGCTCGGAGCTCCCAAAAAATCCGCCAAATCCAACGGTCATGTGGTCGCCAACGGACATGCAGTCACCAACGGCACCGCCAAATTACCGCCGACGTCGTCTTTCAACCTAATCAAATGCCTGATGGTGCTGTACAATCTGGCAATGGTAATGTATTCAGCCTTTGTGGTGGTCGGAATGCTGTCGGTGATTCACGCCGCCAATTACGGTCTTGGATGCGTCGAATTCGATAGGCGTGACGATGAAATCCAACGACGCTTCATTCGTCTAGGCTACCTTTTCTACTTCTCGAAGTTCCTTGAACTCCTGGACACGTTGTTCTTCCTGTTGAGGGGCAAGTACGATCAAGTCACCTTCCTCCACGTCTTCCATCACGGTGCAATGCCTCCATCTATCTGGTGGGGAATACGATACGCACCCGGTGAGTACAAATTCCCTTTTTACAACTCTGGAAGCCTCATTACTCAAACCGAAGACGTTAGGTAGAACTCTAGGTACGAATAACTTGGTTTCCGTGCATCTTCAGTGGGTTGTGCGTGCAGACGATTGAATAGGTTTCTTTAAAAGGCGATTCTTCTTATCATTGAATTGACATAAAGCCTGATCAGGTGTAGAATCAGATTTTTTGCCCGAGGCGCTGTCCACATCGCCCTGAATATTTTGCGTCACAAGTTTTCGTTGATTGGTTCACCCGGGCACCAGATTTTTTCGTGGGTGGGCGTTTTATTCGTGTTTCTGGACGGATGTCACTTGTGTATTAACCCCCACGTTTAACACTCGTCAGTGAAGGAGTAACAGCTGTTTGGGTTCAGGGGTTCTTGACTAACCAATCAAATTAGAGTCATTAGCCAATAGGCTGTCCCACAACCCTGACTTGATCAACACTTGACCAGCGTCCTTTTTAATAACGGTTAGCAGTCGGAAGTGATGTAGGACCTGGTAATCAAATTCGAAGTTTCGTTTAAGTTAACTCGCTTTTAATTGGTTATTACAATCTCGGGATTGAAGTGTCTCCATTGAATTGCGGTGTTAAGATTTGATTGGCTGAGTAGAGTGCGCGAGTAATAGATGATACAAAACGTGAATACCACACACTTTGTCAAAAACAATCGATTGAGCTAATTTGGAAGGAGTCGAGTTTGTGCAGCGAATCCACCAGAGCGTGCCAAAAGGGATGTCTTTGTGCGGCGTCGGTGTCGCGCGACCACACAAGCGGGCCATGTTGGCGTTTTTCTCGGCTGGTCTTTCGCGGTTTTTATTTGGCATTCCCCCGGTAAGACAGATTAGGCGCGTGACTCAATCCACCTTCACACAGTCGTGTTCTCACGCAACGTGAGAGCGCAGGTCAGATCACAGCGATCTGTCGGGTCACACAATACCACTACTCCACGCTGCTAACATGCGGGTGATCTGGTGCCGTCGTTCGCTGTCTGTCGACGGATCTCCACACCCATTGGCCCTTCACCCGCTAGCCAATCGGAACGTCAGGTTGTCGGAGTTCCAGAGAGTTCTAGGACGATGATTTATGAGTTTCGATAAACCCGGCCTTCCTACATGCTGCGTGGCAAGTTCTCCGCCTGACCACACACATTAGTCAACGATTCTTTGGGACGGAAATTTGATCTTCCCTTAGACTTCATTTTAACAGAATTTAATTCCTCTCAGGTGGCATCGTCTACATGTTCCCGTTGGCCAATAGCTTCGTCCACGTGGTCATGTACGCGTATTACGGAATGGCGGCGTTGGGACTCTACCGTTACCTGTGGTGGAAGAAGTACCTCACGGTGCTGCAGATGGTTCAGTTCTGCATCTTCATCGTGCACCAGGGACAAGTCTTAACCCCGCTTAACTGGGACTGTCGTTACCCCAAAGTCTTTCCTCTAGCGATCGTTATCTACGCGGTCATCTTTCTAGTCCTTTTTGGTAATTTCTACGTCCAGGCGTACTGGCGCAAGCGGCGTCTGGCGAAGAGGATCGAAGACGAGGCGTTGGCCGCCAGCGGACACGTCGCCAACGGCCGGAGGCACAAGAAGGCCGATTAGGGGGACATTGTGAAGACTTCTTAGTTGCGACATTATGGCATTTTGACCGCACCTCCTGCTTCCACCTAAACACCCACCCACCCACACCCACTCTCTCATTTTCTCTGCCTCATTACCGTTTACCATTGATGCGTGTTTGTGTTCTGTAAGTAATTATGCTTTCCACGAGGAAAGATGTTCTCACAGCCGCCTCCACGGCACTCTAGGTGATTCACGTCAACAAAAGAGTACTTTTAGCAACAACGAATTATGGACAAAAGTCGTGTTGTTTTCTTTTCCATCTCTCTATAATTGCAGTGGGCGGTTTGGGGCACTCATAATTTTGGAATGCTGGGCGCTGTTTGAGCCGGTAATTTGGATGTCTTGGGTAGGAGTGATGGGGGTAGAGAATATATTAGGATGAATGGACCCAACAGAGGTGATAAAGTCGGCCCCTTTCGACCTGGTTGGCCCCTGTAAGTAATCCCATTCAGTTCCCGTACCACCATTTCATTAGCCATGGGAACAAGGTGGGTTTGTCAATGGTGTGACTGGATCGGTTGTCAGGCGTGAGATCCCCTCGTTGTCGGATGGCTAAATGTTTCTGGCATCTACAGCAGTGGATGCTTTGACACAATTTGTGGCGCGATGGAGGCAGATGTGGATGATATTGAAGATATCACAAGGGCAGCATCGTGGGTGTTGAGTTGGTTCTTCATTGAAAAACGAAGAGAGAAAACGGGACATGGGGAGGGGGTGGCCACGTTGTTGTAGAGTCACACACGTGTTCTCTCTTCCGATTGGTTGAATGGTGTATCGATCACGGATTGAGTAGTAGTGGAATGACGAGAAGCATGCCTGCTTGATGGCACAGACGTTGAACGTCGATGCAATGATGGCACAGCCGAATGCGGGTTGGAGTGGTTTGATGAGGCGATGAACAACAAGGCCTGATTTCAACGTTCATTAGAATTGAAGATTTTGTATTTGGCGTGAAGAGAATCGTAGTTGTTGGTCTCGGAAGATGGAGGTTGCCGCACATGCATCGACCTCGTGCGCTGACTCGAAACTTCCTCTGTGCACACAACCCAAGCACATGCACATCGCTTGAAATTGCAAGTCAACTGACCTCCAGTTGAGTGGGTGCTAGACTAACGCCTCACAGCATTGAAAAGCGTTGTCGAGTGGGTTGTGTGGGCGTCGAGTTCTTGTTGTTGCGTAATGCCTCAGCAGAAATGAACTGCGAGTGTGGTGTTGAGTTTGTTGTTGTTGTTGAGTTTGCATGTTGCTGGTGTTTGTGCCTCACACACGGGAAGATGTGGATGTGTCAGAATTGTTTGTTGCTGTTGTGTGGCTGCAATAACTCGGGTGGGATTCGAAGCCAGATGAAATGCCAGTCACACTTGGAGCGAGAGCTGCTTCCCTAAATCAATTAGGTGTTGTCAGTCATTTCAATTGACTGCCTCTCAACGTGTTTAGCACGATGTAAGAGGCAGTGTGGAATAAAAATTGAGCATCGATCCACTCCTTGGTAATTTAAGAACATTCAACATAGCGCATTCTGACAAATGGCTGGCTTACTGGTGACCAACTCTGGTGGACGCGATATCAACTTGAGTGGTTTTGTCGTGGAGGAAACTGCGTTGAAGTGAACCCAAGTGCGCCTGCCCATCCAGCTAATCGTGAGGACTTGGTCTGACACGTCGATTGAGTGTCTGCATTTCCCCGCCGACATCTCAAGATGCACTTGGTGAACCACTTGTGACGTGGTTTGACAATGATGGGGGCCACTTCAAGTCTGCGTGAATCTGGTTGTCGTGCGTCTTTGAAAGACGTCAAACACAATGGCATGCTTTCAGTGCAAGCACCGCATGCAAGACGCACTTTGTCGCTGATCGCGTCATCTCCAAGAGGCTCTGTTTGCCCCAGTACTAACATCGAGATGGTTTCTGGGTGGAGATACATGTGTCTACTTCGAGGATTCTTTGAGGTGTGCGTAGCTGCGTGTGAACTGATGCTATGCCAGGGAACTGAGGAAATGAGGCCGGTGGGGATGCAAGTGTGCAAATGCGGCGAAACATCGTGGATTTCCACAACAACCACCACAGGTGGCATTGTTTGAAAGAGATGATTAGAAGTGGAACGTGGATTCTGCGGCCTTCATCGTTTAGAATGAAGGTTGCTTCACTATCCCAAGAGCAAGCGTTTGTTTCAGGGAACCGTCGAGAATATCTTTCCTTGTTGTTTCCAGCACTTACTTGCTTCTTTAACCATTCAACAACACAACGCGACAAAATGACATGATTGGCTGCAGCGTCGGTGGCATTGATTCCACAACTCATTCGTAGAGCGTGTGGTTGTTCAACGGTGCAATTAGTGGAATCTAGTGCGTATGACGACGTCATGTGAACACTGCTGTCGATTCTTTGCCGTGAAATCAACTAACCAGATGTATTTCTGGTTTTATCGTGGAACCCTTTGTCTTGCTTATGTGAATTTCTCATATCTTGCTACCTTTAGTGGAGGAAAGATAGCTCTGGCACAACGCCGAATGCTCAAACTAACCGCGCCGAATGAGCATCGTGTTGTGGCTTGATGCGTCTTTTTGTGAATGCGAAATTGATGCTTGGAAATTGTACGTGTGTTCCATTTCACACCGAAGGCGGCAGTTTACATTACATCACACACACCCACACACACACGCACACAAGCCTGGTTCCAAAGTGTCAGCCACTTAAGTTGTGTGTGACCGACTAAAACGCATTCGTTGAGGTTTTTATTTCGTCGAGAAATCGGTGTTTTAGGGCTTTGCATGCTCCAAGACAGCCAATCACAGCGTGGGCCATATTTTGTGCATATCTTTTGCGAAATTGAGAGGAACTAGAACCGTCGAAATTCTCAGAATTATCCAAAACTTCCTGTACTTCCTGTTTTTAATTGGGTACCTGCGTGTTTGCCAGCAATTAAACTCCACTTCTGCAGAATCAATTCAGCCGGCGTTTTTAATGGGCCCATAAATTTTCCTACCGACCAATGGGCTGTGTGTTCGTTTCGAGGCGCTAGGATTAAAACACACGCGCCAATTCGTTGAACTAACATCTGGCTTCTTCTCCAAAACGCGATAAATCAGATTGTATAGAAACTTTGGGTGATTAAGAGAACTTAACGTCATGGCTACTTCGTTAGGCTACCTTTTTTAACCTAATTTAGGCAAGGCCTTCACATTAATTTCACAAAACATGGCGCAGCCAATCAGGGAGGTTCAAGTAGCTACCAATCCCGCTAATTCTGAATAACATTGCAATTAAATAGCGTTTACGTAGTAATCCATTATTTTTTTCATTTCCTATGACGCATGATTCTGCCAATCTGCCGCAAATCTGAAAGCAATGTGGGCTCATCACATCTGCCGTGTTTCAGTTAATGCGAAGGCACTGCTGGCTTCTGATTGGTCAAGCAGCCCACACATCTTGGAGTCGAGCCGCCGTGCGTGATTCAGCCCTTTGTGTTGTGTTCGCTGAAGCCGAACTCGTGTGTTTAATCATCCGGGTGTCTGAGCTCAGCCAGCTGTTGCGCGCACATAGTGACGACACGTGGAATTGGCGAAGCATCGGAGACACCGAACACCGTGAGGAGGTCATAGGTGGCGCTCAGTGGAAATCAGAAAAACACCGGCGTAATTTCGTGGCTATTGATAGTGGGAAATGACGACATTCGATTTGAGCGCATCTGACAGCCGCACAGAAAATGTGTGTGAGGTGGTTGTGGTGAAAGAGGAAGTGGTGGCAGAAGGGTTGGTGGTGGTGGTGGTGGAAGACGAGCAGGAGCAAGGGAATAGCTCTGATCCAACTCCCGTTCCGAGCCCACTTTCCAAG